AAAAAAAAAAAAAAAAAGTTAAGGTAGCAAATACTTAGATCTGCATCAAAATACTTACTGGTTTAAATTGGGCACCATTTTCATTGCTATTGTAACTAAATTATCTGTACAAATTATAATATATACCTTTTGTGTTCATTAGTCAATGTTTTTTAAGTCATATTGCTATGGATTACTGACTGTAAATTATTTGAGCTCCTAAATGCACCACAATATGATACTTGCTGCCAAAGAAACTACAATAAGCAGACATAAACAAACATATCTAACGCAAAAGGACTCAGTTCTATGACAAAGTTCTATAGCATCTCTATAAGTAAATAGTGAATATAGACATACATAAATTTGCTTAGATTGGCAAGGTAGAAATTAAGATAATAAAGTTATAGTTAAAAATGAAACTGGAAAATGTGCCCTAGGTCAAATCATGAAGGATTTTGTACCATATACTAGGAGAGGACACTTCATGGAATAGGCAGTTGTTGAAAGGTTTTTGGTAGAGAAGTAACATGATCAAATATTACTAGAAAGATAACTCCAGGGGCAACACTAAAAAAAGCTGTGGTTCTTAAATATTAGGGATTGTATATATTTATGAAAATACACTGAGTCTTTCCTTTCTAGTGACATGGCAGACTAGCTGTCAAGAAAAATGTCCAATATGTGTTAAATATTTTGAAAATATTTCAAACTTTTTATAAGGCCTGAGCTGAAAAGAAAATAAATATGTTTACTAGAGACCAGACATGATAATAATGAGTGACTCCACAATAGGGTTAAGCAAGCACTAGCTATGGCATGTGCACTGTGACTACCTGCTGATCCCTGATAAAAATAAATGCTAAGAGATGTGGGGCATAGAGTTAGAAGGTCCAATATACATCTAACTAAAGTCCCAGAATGGGAAACACAGGGAAGGGAAAGAAATAATTTCAAAGAGACAATATCCAAGAATTTAACTTAATTATTAAATGACAGCAACATCAGATCTAGCAAATCAAAAATATAAATTACAAAAAGTATACCCCTAAGCATATTTATTATAAGGAAACTATAGAATATCAAAGACACAAAAAAAGACATAAAAGGCATTTCCAAAATTACCCAGGCACTCCTGAAATGTAATAAATTGGAGGAGATAATAGAAATTGGAGTAAACAAAAGTTTATACTCTGTAGCTTTCTTCAAGATAGGAATAGTTAGAAAATTGAAATAGGATATTGAAACTGAAGTAGTAGCTCTTTTAAGGAGGAAGTCAAAATAAGAGGAAAACTCTACAGGAGAGAAAAACGATGAAAATATATAGTCTAGGTCTAGACAATAGTTATATACAAATACCAATTTCCTGGGTTTTATATTGTATCATAGCTTACAAAATATCACTACTGTAGGAAGTTTATATGAGTATAAGGGAAGGCTACATAGGACTCTAATAATTAATAATTAATAATTAATTTCCTATAATTATTTCAAAATAAAAATTTTACCAAAAAATAGTCCTGGAGAGAATCTGAATTTGAGCCTAGGTCTGCCTGATTCTCAACTAGTACTACTTCCCTACTACCATGACACCTACAAAAACTATTTTATGAAAATATAATCACATGAAAAAAGAATGTATAGGAGGATTATCCCGGATAACATTTAAAGAAGTTTAAGAAAATTTAAAACGTACTTTATTAGGAAAAAGTTTAAAATATCAAATTATTCCATTTGTAGCTACTAAGACCAAGTGTTTCAATGTTCTAATGTAGTCCTGGAAAGAGAATCTTAGAAATCTAATAAAAAGTGATGACTGGGCTGCTCTCGCACTATGGCTGAGAGGCACTGCCTCTCACTCACCTCTTATTAGAGGCAGCTCTAGAGTTTCCTGTCGTGTTACCTTGTTCATCTGAAAGGTTAACAGCTGTGCCTCTCCTCCCACACCAGGTAAACAAATTGCACACCAGCAAGCTGTAACTAGAGTCATTACGCTATACACTTGGCATCTCTTTCCCATCAACCCAGGAACTTCCTGATGAGGTTGTCCTTGTGATTTACAGAACATGGCCAGATGACAATTATCACAGCCAGAAATATAAGCTAAAGATGCCAAAGGGAAGTGAACAAAAGTTGCTATTATCTGTAGATCAATTCATTGTATGGCATCTATGTAAAATTATACATACAAGGAAGAGCAAGATAAAATGTGAAAGAATCAAAAGAGTTAATCATTTCATTTTCATTTCAATTAAAATTAACTATAATGGTTTTTATCAAATAAATAATTTTTAAAACCAGAACCAAATCATTTCACTGTGTAAAGTCCCAAGTGCTAAATATGCTACTGGTCATGGGTACTACAAATTCAATTGTATCTAGTTCATTTTCACAAATATATAGTATCAAATAAATTTTAAGAATATAAGGATAGGACATTGCTTTTCCAAGTGACACAGAAAACAAAAAAGATACCATTTTGTGCTTCAAGGGGGAAAATACAGATATAGAGTTAACAAAAGCCAAAAAATATCATATTTTGAYATTAAGTGTACTAACATGGCAAATTTATGTTATATTCATAACAAAAAAGAGAAAACTCATGAGAGTTGTCTTCAAGTCTTCRAGTATTCCAAAGGAGATAGATGTCGTCAATTGTACTACACAGGGCAAAACTAGGTATATAGTTGTTYTGGTTTTGTTTTCATTTTTCTCCCATATATATATATACAAATATATACATATATACACACACACATATATATACACACACAAATAGAGATGTGTATTTAAATATTATAAAATTAAAGCTCAACTATTTATAGAATTTCAGTTATAATAAATCATTAATGACTTGTTAACTGTGGAAATGCCTAAACAGAACTCCATACTGGAGAGGAGATATGAGACCCTTTCCAAGAACCTATCCTCCCCAGAGGCCCCAGAGGTCAAAGCAAAGCATCTTGATACCCAGGGCCACAAAATAAACAGTCCATAGGGACTAGATATAAGGAAGCCCTGTAGCCTGTGAGGTGACTTGAGGATGACATTTTATCCAAAAGGAGTGAGACATAGAACACGGAGATTAAATGACCTAGACTACTTTCTCAAGAAAAATTTTACATTTTAGAGAAGCAGTAGAAGCAACAGAGAAGAAAGGAAATACAGGGGCATTGGAATAAAAAGAGGAAACAGCACTTATTATGGCAAAGCTGCTACATACAAAGTAACCAATACCCAACTGAGGGAAGAACAAGCTGACTAGGCTTCCAGCCTTCTAGCTAGGTCCCCAGAACTATGGAATGTGTTCTAAGAAAACTTGATTTCACCTACCAAGGCATTTTCCTACTACCTTGTGTAAATTTACTCATCAGAAGAAATCTCTTTTTTTCCCCTTGGTTTTTGGTTTTCTTTTGTTTTGTTTTCATCTTCGTTTTTCTCCTTTTTGTTTTAAGCCCAGGGCCGAGGACCTAACGTAGGGCCTCGTATATGCTACGCAGTAGCTCTGCCACTGAGCAAAATCCCCAACCCTCATCAGAGGAATCTTTAGACAATGCCGAACTTTATCTGAACCCCATACTCCTGGAAAAATAATGACAGTCAAGAAATTACTCACCTTTTCATATTCTGAGAAATGGTTTACTGCAAAGAACCATTCTTCCTAATGACTTAAATAAAAGGCCAGACACAGACCCTCCAAATTCCCATTCTTTATCTCATACATGATCACCTCAACTGTTTTCATTTATTATCTGGTTGGTCAATGTCTGGGAACTGGACTTTACCAAATTTTACTCAGGTTTCTTACTTTGGCCCACACTTCAGCAATGGAAGGTCAACAACTCTTCTTTAATGGCKCCTGCCAGGAATCAGCTGACCTCAGGGAATATTACTGTGCAATCACACCAGTCCCTCTTCCCATTCCCCCACACCCATTTTCTTCTAGCCTTCTTTATTTCCCCTATAAAACAAAAGTCCTTTTCTGCTTAACCCTGGAGATGCTTATAGATCGCAAGGTTAAAATGGTTTTCCCTTTTGCAATTCCTCCCCACATGGCAATCATCCTACCGTTCTATGTTAATATTAATAGTCTTTTGGGTTAAAGCCTCTCCTTATCTATGCCCAAATTTGTTTTTATTTGATAATTTCAGTCTGTAAAGGATCTAACTTTACAAAATACAAATTAAAGCCATTAAATATCCTCATATTTATTCCTTTTATTTCAAAGATTCGAAACTATTATGTCTTTCTTGATATATGACCTCATTATAAAATACATGGAAACATAGACCATCATAAATAACATGTTATATTTCCCCAATGTTCAAATAGAAAAATTAGACTATTAATTATTAAAACAAACTATGATTGCTAATAAAGCATTTCATAATGAAAATGAAAATCTAAAACCACACAACTAAAGTTCTGAAATCAAAGAAATCATTTCTTTTTTTAATTTTTTTTTAATTGTAGATGGACACAACACCTTTATTTTGTTTATTTACTTTTATGTGGTGCTGAGGATCAAATCCAGTGTGTCACACATACTAGGCAAGCACTCTACCACTGAGCTACAACCCCAGCCCCAAAGAAATAATTTCTTCGGGTTTTACTTTTATCTGATATAGTTAAATCATCTCGTTACCATCTGTTCAACATGAAAATAGCTTAAGGAACTTGTGTTCACTTTGGCCAGTTATTAACTCAAGCATGAAACTAAAAATCATACAGTTGCTAAAGTTACTTCTGAAAGATTTTCTGCAATAATTTTCCACTTCTCCAGTGATCCAGAACCCCAGTCTCAACTTAGTTTCTCTCACTCTAGAAGGTATTGCAGATAGCACATTAATTTGGGACATATATAAAATAAATCCTCAATGTTTTTAATCCAGAAAGAAAATACATGACCTTTCCATACAAGAAAGAATATTTTTCTAAGTTACTTCCATTTCTGTTTATGAAAAATATTTTGAAATAATATTTATATAATAAAACATATCACAGAAAAATGAACTACTCACCCGCATTGACTATAGCATCTATCTCTAGCAATGTGATGTCACCTCTATACAGAGAAACTTTTTCACTCAAACTTTTCTTCATCTGTAATGTTTCCTGAGTATTTTCTTCTGTAATAAAAGGGATACATATTAATAGTAATATCATAAATTTAATTGACAACATTTAAATCAAGACAACTATAAGAATAAATATGGATTATTCTCTGCTACAAAAGACAGTGGAAATAAGTATTTAAATACCAGGAATAAGTTTATTATGTATTTATTTTATATTCTTCAACTAAATGCACTATCATGCACATACTGGGCATTTGCTATATTTTGGCAAGTTATTCAATATTTGCTATTACACATTTATTATTATTATTAAAATGTCCATTTTAAGATAAAATTATGTACCACTACATTCACAAGGAAATAAGAAAAATGTGCAAATATGAAGAAAAAATAACTTTTTTGTGAAGGAACTTATTTCTGTTTTATCCAGTTACTTAAAAAGCACCCTTGAAAAAAATATTTAGATGAGCCCCCACACAAAAAAATTAAATTAAATAAAAGGGTCAGCTCTTTGCTAATCTAAAATAACAAGCTATCCCTCAGGACATATTCAAGAACATCTGAATTTGTAAAATTGTCCTTCTAATCAAGTTGGATTTAACCTTTCACTCTAGAGGACACTGTTAGATACGAAAGAGAAATAGTTCTACCCAACACACAACAGCCAGCAAGTTGGTGTACTTAAAATAAGTAAAAAACTTTAGATTATAAAATTATATATTTTTTAGATATTTCAGAGAAATACTACAAATTTTGAATTATCATTTATTTTTGGCAAATAGCAATGTTAAGACAAATTAAACTTATTAAACAAAGATGTATGAAGTCAATGTTTTTAAATATATTAAATTGCTATGCATAAAAGGCTTTTTAAATACAATTCTAGGGAAGCAGATTTATAAACTCAACTTTTAGTATTTATGATCTGTACAAGTCTTTTCATGAAAGAAGACAATATTATTCATTCACTAACAAACACTCAGATGCAATTTTAAAGTATACTGGAGGTTGGAAGTGATAGGTTATAAGTAACCCATATTGTCTTTGGGACCCATCAGACAATGAAAACATTGGCTAGGACTAAGGAAATAATCTTTGGCCATTAAAGTGATCCTTCCTGTCTTTGCTTGCAAAGCATTCCATTCTTAGCAACCATTTCTCTTCTTAAAAGATTCTAATCAAAATATTCACTGGCGATAATAATGAGGAGGAGGAGAATATTGTGAGAAAATTGTTTGTTAAGGGAACAGAGAAGAATACAACTAGAGATATGAAAAATTGTGCTCTATATGTGTGATAAGAATTGTAGTGCATTCCACTGTCATGTATAAATTTTTAAAAAAGAAAATGAAAATTGGTTCAACTAATTTACAAAAAAAAAAAAAAGGAGATGGACTTTAAGAAACTTCAAAATATAAAACATCCATAGTTGAGCTGACTACTTCATTGACTCCTAGAGTACTATTTTTCTCAGTCAGGAACAGACTTTACTCCCAGATTCATGTTCAGATTTCTAGTTCTGCCAATTAACAGCTGTGTGAGCTCAGATAAGTAATTTATTCTCTCCATGCTTCAGTATGTACAAYACTCCTTCACAGTAAACGTGAGTTCATTACATTTAGAATAGTGTTCGCCCCATTATAAGCTATCAACAAAACACCACCTTCTTTTTAACAAAGGTGACAAATATTGTGTCAGCATCCATATTCAGCATATGTGGATCACAGTTATTTTTTTCAAAATGTTATTTTGAATAAAATGTCAATACACCTATTATTATTATTCCCTATTATTTAAAGAGATGATATTTTGTTTGTGCCATTAAAATTGTCAATATCTAGCCCAATGACAAAAATTCTAAGCCACAGCAAGACCTTGAGACTCATATCCAATCAATTCCTATTTTTGTGACTTTAACCAATTAGAAAGTCCTGGCTTTTTCTGACAATTCTAGATACTTGAATCACCATAAACCTAGAAATTATAAAAGATTTCTCACTGAAGAGTTTCAGAACTCCATTCAGCATTAAATTGGCAAGCAAATCACAAATCAAAGCAGAACATTTAATTCTATTTGACAGAGTAATTAGATTTCTAAGCCATTCTCTAACTGCTTATAGCCCTAAAAAGTATTTATTCATTTTCTCATGAAGTCTTTTATATAATACTATATTYTAGTGATATGATTTTAAACATATGTGACCATAAATCATATACTTCTTTATCCAAAAGTAAAGAAATTATTAACAAAAGGTATTAGAAAGCATCAAAATTTAAACCATTATATCACAGTTCAGGTTTGGTTGGTTGATTTCTTAATCTTTCATCAGAAAATTTAAATTGAGCCCAAAGTAAAGGATCAAACAATCCAACATAAATAAATACAAACTGTTATCATTTATCATTCAAGTAAGTTACTCAAAATAGTCTTTAGGAAAAGTGTCAGCATCATTCTTTACATAGAATGCTAAAGAAGCATGTCCATACTATACTTACAGGCTGCAATTTCATGGTATTAGGAATTGTTAGCACTTCCTTTGACAATAAATCAAAAACAAATAGCATATTTTTGACCACCAACTGTTCTCGGTGACTATAAAATATAAATTACCACTGAGAGGTCACCTCTTTTATTTGCATAGCAATGCACACTGTATTTTATCAGCACTAATCTCATTATATCTTCTCCCATATCCTCAATTTTCCAACAAAAACGTGTACATAAAGCCAGGTGGGTGRTGCCCACATGTAATTCCAATGGCTTGGGAGGCTGAGGCAGGAGGATTATGAGTTCAAAGACAACCTCAGTAACTTAGCCAGGCTCTAAGCAATTTAGCAAGATCCTATCTCTAAATAAAATATATATAAGAGCTGGAATGTGCCTCGGTGGTTAAGTGCCCCTAGGTTTGAGCCCTAACCAAAATATATATATATATATATATATATATATATATATATATATATATACAAAGCAGCAATTCAAATTTTGCATCACTGGTTTATGTAAGTTGAAAGATCTGTTAGTTTTGCTCTTCTAGATTGTATACTATTGATATTGTCAAAAAAAACAGAGCTAGACATTAGTAGAAGCAATAAAAACAGATTTTTATTTTTTTTTTATATATTTATTTATTTATTTTTGTAACCAGCCCTTTTTATTTTTTGAGACAGGATATCTCTAAGCCACAAAGGCCTCACTAAATTGCTAAGGCTGGCTCTGAACTTTCGATCCTCCTTTCTCAGTCTCCCAAATCACTGRGATTACAGGCGTGGGTCATCACACCCAGCTTTAAAAACTAAAAAAGAAGAAAAGGAGAAAAACTTCAGTATAGAATATGCTCAATTCCAAATACTACAAGAACAAGTAGGTATTTATAGCCAAGGAGCAAGACTGGGCGGGGTAGGGGAGATCAGTGAATGGAAAATTATAGGGTTGACTAAACAGACTTAACAGGATTCTTGCTGAAGGCAGGCAACTTTATAACAGACTGTCCAGTTCAGCTCCAGGAATTCTAGGGCTAAAGGAAAGTTTTAGTTTTCAATAAATGCCAAGTCAGGAGGGCAAAAAAATTGGAAATGTTAATTTGGAGAATTTAGTCAACTATGGGAGAAACGAGAAGAACTAACAAAATATATATGATAGCAGGATCCAGTCAATTTATAAACTGATATAAATGAACAGGATTAGAACTTAATAACTCACAAGTGTACAGTATTGTTTTCCATTGAAACATAAAATTTCTCTCTACAATTATCTTCCTTTTTTTACTGTTATTTACAAAATAGGTCTGGTCTCATTATATTCAGCCTGATTATTTACTTAATAGCAGCAAGAATAATAATTAATCATTTAGGGCTTTAGGTTTGTTTTGCTAAAATTTTTTAACAAGAATCTCTGATTAGACTTTTAAAAGCCTCTCAAAGAGTGTAAGCCAAGTCACAAATTCAACATCAGGATATTCCCATGTTAAAAACAGATTCTTCTCCTAGGTTCCCCAAATATCCTGTTTCCTGGGCCTTCTAGCAAGTGGCTTTCCTTACTTACCTATAATGTTGTCAGCCCTAGAAGTGTGGTACTAGGACAGTTTTTCCAAGAGAATTTTGTAAGCATTAACTTTACAAAATCAACCTTAGTCCTCAAAAGTGTCTGGACACATCTGATTCAATGCATCATTCTCAAATATAACATTCCATCCAAACACACATTATGAACCAGTTTTTCCAATCATGCCAAGGAGAACAGATTCTTACTGAACTGAGACAAATAATTGTATTGCCATGAAAATAAGAATACTCAATTGTATTCATCCAAATTTGAAGAGATCAGGTAAAGAGAAAAGATTAATATTTCATTTCTTTTTACAAAAGCATATTTTGTAAAACAGGATATTTGGGGAACCTAGGAGAAGAATTCATACAAATCTATATTTAATAAGCTATAGCTAGGTTGAGAGAGGAGAAAATAGGTTCTTTGGGGGAAAAAAACAAAACTAAACTAAAAAACATTAAAAGCCAGATGTGGTGGTGTACTCCTGTAATCTCAGCTACTCAGGAAGTAGAGGCAAAAGGGCCACAGGTTTAAGGTCAGCCTGGGCAACTTGGCAAGACCTTGTTCTAGGTTCAATCCTCAGCACTGAGAAAAAAAAACAAAAAACCTAAGTTAGAAAAAAATAAAAAGATGTAATTTGCAAGGGAATTGGTTATTTCTGTGGCATACATTTAAGCAAGAGCTAGAATTATGACTGATAGCCTCATGGCATAAGATATTGGAAAATTTCCATAAAATTTATACAATTTCTGAAGTATCTGAAGTATTTATGGTAATAATATTTCCTCATACAACTATCACCTGAGAAAGGTTAAACATCACTTCTTATTTGACAATGTTTCTGTAAGGAGCATCTGCCATAGACATGCTGGGACATGCTGGGACTCACTAAGTTGCTGGCCACAAGGAACAACAGCCATTGAACTGCTTAGTCATGTCTGCTTGCAATTGATTAAGAGGTGTAAAGGGCACTAGCCATAGGCGTGCTTAGCAATGACAGGTT